TTATTATTTAAATAATGTGATTATTTAAATTTGAATTTGAACATATCTAGATTTATCCATTTAAACTTATTTGATAAGTTGTTCAATTTAGAATTCAAATTAATTTAAGTTTGACTTAAATTCGAATTTGAATCTAAATTAAAATTGGACTACTGGATAAAGGATAAAATCTCTTCCTTCCCTATCTGAGATAGGCGCCACACACAGGGATAAAACCCTAGAGTGTGGCCGGCCACCAAGTGGATAAGGGGAAGGGATTTTTTGTTCCAAATTCAAAATTGGAGATAAGGATTTGATTCTATTTTGAAGTTTGACTTCTTCTCTTTAAATATGAGAAAGATAGAAAATTGTAGAGACAACTTTTAACATATATTGAGCCCTAGTTTTTGAGTGTGGCCGAAATTCTCATAGAGGAAAAAGAGAACAAAATATTTTTCTCCAAAAATTCCACATCGTGCATGCGTTGGTGTTTGTGGAAATTCGAGTGTTTAAGAAACCTATTTTGTCTCACGTGTGCCCACACACACGTCTACGTGGAATCAAAGAATTGACGTGGAAGACTTTGGTATTCTAAACACAAAGCTTGGAGCAAGGACTGTTCGTGGTCAAAGAAATTCAAGTTATCATCCGAGTCGGCTTCCAGGTATTTTTCGATTGATCCTTGAATGATGTAAATTAATGTGATTAATTTATTCGTGCATAAATTAATATAATCTATAAAGTATCTCAAAAGTTTTATGAAAAATTTTGTTATACACGATCCGCTGTTTTTCATCCCCACGCTTCCGCACCCGAATTCGATTCGGGAACTAGCAGATTAACCTTACTATATCAAGCAAAAGTTCCACATAAATATTGGTCATATGAATTTCAAATTGCAGTCTATTTAATTAATCGTCTTCCCACTCCTATTCTAAATTTTTCTTCCCCATATGAAAAACTATTTCAAGTCAAGCCTAACTACAATAAACTTCGCATATTCGGTTGTCTTTGCTTCCCATGATTAAAATCATACACATCTCACAAACTAGAACCTAAATCTCTTCCTTGTGTATTTCTTGGCTACTCTCTAAATCAAAGGGCATATATATGTCTTGAACCCACCTCTAACAAAATATATCACTCACGTCATGTTCGGTTCGTTGAAAGTGAATTCCCACTCTCTCACTCTTCTTCTCTTTCTATCCCTACACTTAATTGGTTTCCTACTCTTGATGAGTCTACTGTCACTGCACTTTCGAGGTCAACCACACTGTCTCCTCCATCAATGCTTGCTCCAGTGCTCATGGTGCCTGCTCCTTCTTCATGCTCTACGCTTCCTCTCGGCACAATCATCATGATCTCTGTTATGGCTGCAGGTACTACCTCTTTCTCTAATCCTTTGTCTTCTTCTCTTTCTATTCCTTCTAAAGTAATGACATCACCACCTCCCACCTCCACCATGCCTACTCCAAGAGTCGAACTAGTTCAATTATCACAACCCACTACTTCTCACGACCTCGCTCTATGCTTACAACCTACCCAGTCCCAATAAATTATTTCCTCCACACAGCCTGTTCCACCCAACAATCCCATGCATTCCATGCAAGCAAAACCCTACGTACATGCTCCTAGTCGTCTTCCCAAACCTTCCACTCCTTCTCATGTCATGAAGACCCGCTCTCAAAATAATATCTATATGCCTAAACGTCTCTATCAAGCAACCACCAAACACCCTCTTCCTGAGTCTCTTGAACCTACTTGTGTTTCTCAAGCTCTTCAAAATGTTCATTGGCGTCAAGCCATGTCTGAGGAGTTAACCGTCCTTCTTTGTAATGGCACTTGGGAACTTGTTTAACCACACCCATCGCAAAATGTTGTTGGATGCAAATAGGTCTTTCATATTAAGCGAAATCCCAACGGTTCTATCTCCCACTACATAGCCCGTCTTGTTGCCAAAAGGTTCCATCAACGCCCCAGTATGGACTACCATGACACCTTTAGTCTAGTAGTCAAACCAAGTACGATCCGTCTCATCTTGAGCATTGCATTATCTAACAGTTGGACCATACGTCAGTTGGACATCAACAATGCGTTTCTTCATGGTACACTACTGGAAGATGTCTATATGCAACAACCTTTTGGGTTCCCTGATTCTAGCAATCCGAACTTCGTGTGCAAACTACAAAAAGCGCTTTATGGCCTTAAACAGGCGCCACATGCTTGGTACAATGAACTTAAAGGATTTCTTATATCCTTTGGGTTTGTCAATTCCAAAAGTGACACCTCCTTATTTATCTACTCTGCTAATGGGCTCACTGTTTATTTTCTTGTCTATGTTGATGATTTGATTGTCACAGGCAACAATAAGTCCTTTTTATAGCATGTTATTGATGCTCTTTCTCAAAAAATTTCCGTCAAAGATCTTGGTGACTTACACTACTTTCTAGGAGTTGAAGTCCTCCCTACACCGACTGGTTTGCTCTTAACTCTGCACAAGTATATTCGGGATCTTTTACAAAAAACTAATCTCCTTGGTGCTAAAGAATGTGCAACTCCCATGTCCTCTACTCAATTGCTGACTCTCAATGATGGATCCTCACCTACTGATCCTACTCAATTTGTCAAGTCATTGGTGCATTACAATATTTATCACTTACGAGGCCTAATGTGTCTTATGTCGTTAATAAGCTCGCTCAATTCATGCACGCTCCCACGGAATCTCATTGGGCTGCAGCTAAGAGAGTACCTCGATACTTGAAGGGTACCATCCATCATTGACTGTTTCTTAAATGACAGACTGGTCTTCATGTCACTGCCTTTACCGATGCTAATTGGGCTGGTGATCGGGATGACAAAACCTCCACCTCAGCCTACACTGTCTATCTTGGCAGTAATGCAATCTCTTGGTATTCCAAAAAGCAAAAGACCGTTGCCCGATCTTCTACTGAAGCCGAGTACCGTGCACTTGCTTCGTGTGCTGCAGAGATTCTATGGTTGTCAAATTTACTTGGTGAACTGGAAGTTCCTTCTCTACCTCGCCCAACCATTTTTTGTGATAATATTGGTGCTACATATTTATTGGTTAATCCGGTTTTCCACTCTAAAATGAAGCACATTTCTATTGATTATCATTTTGTATGCGAACATGTTGCTTGCGGTTCTTTCGGTGTGTCTCATATTTCATCAAAGGACCAATTGGCAGACGCACTTACTAAACCACTATTCTCTTACCTTTTTCGCCAGCTGCAGATCAAGATCGGTGTCTCCAATTGGAGCACCATCTTGCGGGGGATGTTAAAGATAATATCTTGAATTCAAATTCAAATCCCTTAGACTCGGCCGCTGACTCATCACCAAGTTAAGCCCCTCCTTTAGCGTCAATTTCCTCTCCAACAAACTGAACAACCTCAGCCAGCAAGCTTTCTACTATTGTAACTTATGTAATCTAGTAGTTTTACGGTTCCTTCTTTTGCGCTATTATTTGTTGTAGAAAATTGTATATATAACACTGTGTAATACAATGAAAAGTATGCAGCATTTAATTCCCATTTGACTTTTATACTCTTTTACCTACCACTATTGAAACTTAAAACAGACATTTAATTCATAAATTTAAAATTATTTAAAATTTATATATATTTTTTATAAAAAAAATATTATAACAAGAATAATAATCTGAACCACCGTTCTTTTGCTGCGTAATTTCAAAAAAACAAAAAAGTATCTCAGTCCCAAAAAAAAATAATAATAAAGAAAGAAAAAAAAGTCGCTGCAATCCAACATTACCTTATTTCTCATATCAGAAGCCAATGGTAGAATGACATGTGTACCAACATGAACACTTTGACCTTTTTGCTTTGTCGCCGTACAAATAACTGGCCATGAGCGTGACAAGTCATCCACAAGAGTTTGATTGATCCAACACCCACAAATGAGTGCCCAGTCCAAGTTGATGTGCTCGGCCCTACGCACTGCCACGCGTAAAGTCATATCCACTGGCTCATACTTTTTGTCGTTTATGGCTTAAAGCAAGTGACCGTCCAAAAACGACACATATAGACGGGATGGGGTTGAACAACCCCTTGTGGTGCACATTTAGCCACACTACAACTATATATATATATTTATTCAGTCCCTTTACCACTTTATCCACTAGCGAAACTTTTATTCTTTATCTGCGAAAAAAAAAAAAAAAAAACCAACATGGAAGCTTGTTTATTCACCGCCAATTCCTTCACAACAACTACCGAATTTTCTCCTTCAATTAGACCCAGAATTCTCAGCTACTCCAAGAGAAATTCTCCTCGGTTTCATCACAGAAAAGTTGCAACTCCATCCTCCATAACGTGTAAGTTCTTAAGCTTTCCAAAAAAAAAAAAAAAAAAAGGAAAAAAATCTCCTTTATGATTTACATTTCAAGCTTTAGATGTTGTTCTCCTTGGAAAAAAAAAAAAAAAGCAAAAGCTTTTTAACATGCTGATGAGTTTGCAAATTATAGGTTGTTTGCCGGAGTCATATTCACCGTCTGATGATGACAAGAAGCCCTTGATTGATTCCGATTGGAGGTCATTCAGAGCAAAACTGGTCGCAGGAGAACAAGTATTTAGATCGCAAGAAGAGCCTTCCTCCTCAACCGTTGACCTTGACACCGTGGTGGATCATCCTCCGTCTATCAGCATCGGTGACAAGTGGGCCCACACTATCCACGAGCCCGAAAAGGGGTGCCTACTCATTGCAACTGAAAAGCTCGATGGGGTCCACATCTTCGAGCGGACGGTCATTCTTCTCTTGTCTACTGGGCCTTTGGGCCCATCGGGCATCATTCTAAACCGGCCTTCACTGATGTCTATTAAGGAAACGGGATCCACAGCTTTGGACATCGCTGGCACGTTCTCCGACAGGCCCTTGTTCTTTGGTGGGCCGTTGGAAGAGGGCCTGTTCTTGGTGAGCCCAAAAGGAGATGACGATGGCGTGAGGAAAAGTGAGGTGTTTGAAGAAATAATGAAGGGACTGTATTATGGGACAAAGGAGAGTGTAGGATGTGCTGCCGAAATGGTGAAAAGGAATATGATTGGGCTTGGGGACATAAGGTTCTTTGATGGGTATTGTGGGTGGGAGAGAGACCAATTGAAGGATGAGATAAGGGCTGGTTATTGGACCGTCGCAGCTTGTAGCCCAAGTGTTATTGGGCTTGGTAGTGTCGGAAATGTTGGGCTGTGGGAGGAAGTCCTCGGGCTCATGGGCCCTAGGAAGGTGTGGTGAGGATTGCTATAAAATTACCAAATTAGGTCCATTACCACTTATCAAGTCTAGTTATTCACGTGCGTATTCTTACGTGTAAATTATCTATTTTGTAGTAGTATATTCAAATACCAACTCTCTAAGAGTGGCATTTTTTTTTTTCTAATTTACCCGTGAGAACTTGACTGTTAACAGATGCCAATCGTGTAATCACTAGTTACTTTCTAGTCAAATGTATATTGTACATATGCAAATTTTTTTTTTCTTAGAATTGTTTTCAAAACGGGTTTTAAGCTATAAAGTGTTAAAATTTCGGTGGACTAAGGCCCCCTTCATTTTACCGATTTGAGTTTAAAATTCGAGTTTTGTTACAGTCACATCTAATTTTTTTACTATAATAAAAAACTCTCACATGAAATCACACTCAACTCGAATTAACGAGTTAAACAGACCCTAAGTGAACTTTTTCTCCTTGGCTTCACCCCATTTCAATATGTTGATAAATATCAATTATTATGATAATTTGGAGTAGGAAACATTCACAATTTCACAGAGCATTGTTTTAATTAGATTATCGTAGGGTTCATACAGATCAATAATAAAAATAATAGATAATCAGGTAAATTATACTTGGTCATGACATATCTTTCATGCCACTTGTGTCAATTTGTATCCAACACAACGGAAGTGTATAAATTCTAATGAAGAAAAAAGTTATTAACAAATCCAATTTTAATGTTTTTGAGTTGAAAACTTGAATAATTGTAGGTATGTGCAACCAACTGTAATTGTTGGTTAATAAGAAATATTGATTAATGAATATCATATTGTTATGTGAACTATAGACTCCAATTTCAACAACCCCATCTCTGTAGTTTTATATTCCTCATTTTATGTATTTGGACCGGCACATATGAAGACAATCTTGGAATATACATATGAGGTTTTTTTTTTTTTTTTTTTTAATTTGTAAATTACTCTTGACCTCAAAAATTGACTACGGCATCTCAGATACCAAATCACACAAGGAAAAAAAGAAGAAGAAGAAAAAGGACAGCAAACGGAAAGGTCAAAGTAAATGTTTCATAACCCTCAAGATAAGAGTTTTCTGTTCCATATCTTCTGTATAATCCTCCTTGATGGCTCTTTTTCCTCGCATTGGACTCATAGAAACATCTTTTAAGATGATTCTTGTAATGGAAGTGAAAATATGGGATGTGACTATTTAATAGTGTTCGGGCATTAATTCTAGTCCTAACTCTTTATTTATCAACTTACATGACCGCAAGTTGTTACACTTTTAATGTAGATAATAAGTAAGAGAATAAATTGAAACATTCCATAGAGATACCAAAAACTTTCTTTCACACTTAGAATTATATAAAAATGACTGTCTATCTCAATGAGTGATGCAATCTCTTGTTATTAATTGTGTCAAATTTTTAAACACATGTAGATAAAAAAATGACAGTTCACATAAAATGTTAGTTGGTATAATAATATTAGAACTAGAGTTGGCGTCTTAACGGCCATGATTATTCTAATTTTTAATATTTTTAGCTTGAGAGTTGAAAAAAGGGTAATTACTAAGTAGCACTTTAATTTGGTGGTTGTTATGAAATTCTTTTTCCTTACCATTTTGGTGTAAAGCTCTAGCTATTATTGACGCTACAGGAACCGGCCGACCATCATGTGTCAATATGAAATCTTTTAGAGTTTGTTTATTTTTTACATTTAAATTTATAATTTAAATTTTGTTACGGTATTTTTTTTTTAAATTTAAAATTTAAATATTAAAATTAAAAATTATTGATGTAAGCGTATGAAACAAACGTGCTTATAATTTCTTTACTCTCAACTGTTTGGCTAGATGAGATACAATAATTGGGATAAGATTCCGACATGTTATGCCTTTGGAAGGGACTGCTAATTATGTCAGTCCCAAGTATTCACATGTCATACCTACCAAACAGTAATAATGAGAGCACCATTGAGCTGTCAATTTTTTAATTTATTTCTGTTTTGGTAAATTTGAAATTTAGAGCAGTTATTGTTGCCATTATAAGGCAAATCAATGAACTTTTCACAGCGGTAAAAAGCATAAGAGAGGGGAAAAAAAGCTTGGTAAATCTCCGAACAAAAAATAACCAAATTCATGTATATTATTAATTCACTATTATAGTTTTGTCTGATTGTTTTTGGATACAAAAATTATGATATCAACATTAAAATTTTGATTACTCATAATGCCCATCAACCTTGATTTTGAAATAACAACTATTATTAATCTGAAAATGATAGAAATAAATGCTGCCGATTATGCGTAAATAACTTGTACCACCTTGATTTTAATAATTTAAGAATGATAGGTTGATAGTTATTAGCAATAAAGAAACAGGAATATCATGTCCAATGAATGATGCGACACTGACCCATTTTCCATAAAGATGTAGCTACCAAGACGCATCATTTTATTGTTCATGTTTATGTTTAGTAGGGCTGTTCATAAACCCGAATAACCCGTAAACCCAACCCAAGCCGAAAAAAGTAACCCGCAACATTATTTTTAAATTTGCAGCTCATTAAACCTCTGGCCCGAAGTATTTGGGGCGGATTGCGGGTTGGGTCCATAACAATCCGCAATCCCCAATCCAACCCGCACAACATACCCCCAAGCTTTTGGCCCAAGCCGAACTGCCTAAGTTCTACCCTAGGCTCACTAACATTAGGGTTCACAATCTCATTCTCGGTCTCCCCTCTCGTAAACCCCTTCTTCTTGCCTCTTCCTTTTCAGTTTTCCCTCTTCTTCCCCTCCCGTGAACCCCCTCATAACTCTCTCCTCATTGCTCAGTCCTCTCGGCCGCCGTCTTGCCCACTTACTCCGGTGCTCTCTCGCCGGACTGATAAGGATGGTTACTATTTCTATTTAATGATGAAGTTTGAATATTATATTGAACTTTAAGTCTTTGATTTTTTGAATGTTGAAACCAACCGCCCAACCCACCCCGCACCGCCCCAACCCAACCCGAACAACGTTAGGTTGTGAAATTTTTCTACATCGTTGGGGCCAAATATGTGCAACCCGCACCCTTTGGGGCGGGGAAAAAAAAGTCTTACTCCGCACCAACCCAACCCATGAACAACCCTAATGTTTAGGGAGAAGAAAAGAATTTGACAATTTAGGTCCTGTTTATTTCGCTAATTTGAGTTTAGAATTCGAGTTTTGCTACAGTAAAAAGTTCTCACAAACAATTACATCTAATTTTTTTGCTACAGTAAAAAACTCTCACATAAAATCACATCTCAAATCAAATCAACGAACTAAACGGGCCCGAAATACTCATTGTAATGTGGTCTGGTTTGATCAGAACTTATCTTTTCATGAACACTAAAAACTTCCAAAGTAAGATAGTAGCTAGGAAACCTTACTCATTGACGCCTACCAACCTTAACTAATTGGCTATTAATATCTTTATCTAGAATTCATAGATTTGTTTAAGTTTTTATGCACAAAGATGTGCAAATCATCCAATTACTTGTTATAAATGCCTCTGACAGAAAAATTAAAAACACAATAGAGGGCCTTCTAGGCCATTGAATGACTATTTCAATATTAAATTCTAAAATGATATTATGGGAGCGTGCAAGTTATTATTTATGTCATTTTAAATAATTAAGAGTTAAAATGAGTTTTTATTTTTTTATTAATTAAATAATAATTATTTATTTTTAAATAAAGTGACATAAATAGATATTTTTTCACCGCCTTAAGTGATATTTTTGAATTTTTTTATCTAACACAAATAGTTTGAATTGCATTACTGTATAACATTCTCAACGACCCGTATAAAGCTCCCATATATTTTTTTTAAAATTTTCTAATACGTTAAACGTATTGATAGATTAAATTTTTTTATGGTTAAATTTATATATTTCTTAATTTTTACGTAATTTTATATAACTCTCACCAATAAAAAAAACTTAACTTAACGTCCTAAAAAAATACTTAACGTCCTAAAAAAATCTATCTTTTTTTAATGTCAGGAAGTTTCTGTCCTTTTTTTCCTTTTCACTTCCGATAGATATTTTAATTGAGTAATTGACTAGTGGCCATTATAGAAAAGGCGGAAGTGGAACAAAGGGAAACAACCAATACAAGAGGGACAAAGCATATAAAAAACCAATAATCCAACCAATCTCAATTTCTCATAATTACACATAAACCTCGAATGAAATCCGATCCCCATCCTTTTTTCTTATCTCTTTTGTTTTTTTTATTTATTATTTTTTAAATCTACTCTTACTTTTCTATTTCGTTTTCTCGTCATATCCGGAAAGTGTTTTAATTGGAGGAAAACTCCACACCACGCGCCTTAACAGCAAGTGGGAACAACCTCATCTCAAATCTAAGAACACAGTACACAGGTCATGTTACATTGATATCTTCGTACACCAAAGTACTTTTTATTAGTGGGAGAATAATTTTCAATCACTGGATGCGCGCGTGGGATACACAGTTCCCTAAGAAAACAATCTATCTAATTCAAGAGGGGTCAGCTACTTTCGGAAAATGTTAGGTTGTTGCCTCAGTAAACCCAGGTGTCTACAATTTCTAAAGTACTTTTCCCAATATAAATATGTGTACCCAAAAAGCATGGAAGATGGAGAGAATCTAGAAAATGTGGGGGAAAATAAAAATAAAATAAAATAAAGTATAGAATTCATTAAAAAGGTTAAATAAAAAATACCCATATCTTTCTTTCTTTTCACATCCTCAAAAACCCAATAAAATCCCATAAAAAAAACCCAATTAAAAAAAAAAAAGAAAATTTCATTGAAAACCAAAGCCATAAGGGAAGCAAGGTATATAGAATAATATCAGACCACAAGTTGACAAATTTGAAGTCATTGTTCTTGAAGAAGTCATGTGTAGCTTTTGCATAGGGAAGATCATCTATCTGGGATGTGGGATCTCTCTATTTTCTCCTCAGATTCTGGCCCAGCAGATCTGAATTTTCTTCTGTATTATTATTATTATTATTATTATTATTATTATTATTTTTACTTTTAAAAAATTTTATTGTTTTTTTTATTGTTTTTTTTATTTTTGGTTGTTCTAGGGATGATCTAAGCTTTCTTTAATGGCAGTGCTGCAGAGATATCATCCACTTTGTTTCTTGAACTCTGTGAGGTGGTTATCTTTGTGTTTTGGTTAATGGGGTTCTTTGGTTCTGTTCACTTACTGTTCTCTACCGAGTTTGGAGCTTATTAGGTTTCTTCTTCTCGGTGAAATTTATGAGAGAGTTCTGATAAAGATTCTAGAAGAGGATACACGTATGAGGTAATTTTTGTCAATTCCTTTTTTGGCTTTCAAATGGGATTTCGTGGTTTTGGTGATTGATTATGTGATTCTCTCTCTATCTAACTTTACAGTTGGTTCTTATATTTTTTGTTTTTCCTTATGAGAAATTGTTAATTAGCCCTTTTGTGTTTATGGATCGTGTAGTTTTAATTTCAGTCTTTGATGGGTATTCTGGAATGTAAAAAAAAAAAAAAAAAAAAAAGAAAGAAAGAAGGATAACTGTTTCTAGATTGGTTTTGGATGAGTCTACATATGTTTCTGATGTACCTTTCTTAGGGAATTTTTAGATTTTCTGATGTTTTTTTTCTTCAATTTATGGCTAGTCCTCTTTCTTATGTGCTTTACTGTTCTATTCTGCGATTAGATTTAAGTTAAAACCTTTGGAACCAAAACGGAGATTAGATTTTTGTTTGCTCCATTTTTTTTTTTTTCTCTTTTTTCTTCATATATTGAAATGCAGCTATTGCTTCTTCTGCATATACCAGTACTATATACATTTAATTTTGTATGACATAGTGTAATATCCCATTTAGAGCTAAATTAGTAGTTTTGAGCTGCATTTAGCTCGAGTACTAAATTTGGCTCAGTGTTCTAATATTGACCACAGACTTCAGTGAAGTATATTTTCGATAGTTTAACTGGGATACAGATGGGATTATTGGTCTAATGATTTTCTGAATATGCATGTTGCTTGCAATCTTGACAAATACGCCTCACTGTTCTAACAAAACTTGCTGAAATGGGTCTGCAATATTGCTTTTTCGATGAATTAGTAGGCAGGCCATTACATTTTCCATATTTTCTAACTCATGTTACTTGTGTTTCTTGGGTTAAATTCAGAAATGGGAACTGAAGTACAGTCTAAGATGTATCTACCAGGATATTATTCCATGAACGACATAAGTAATAGCGCTGGCTATAATGGCTGGTCTTTACATCGCGAAAGCAACTCGCTGAAGAATGGGCAGCATTATGGCATCTACTTGTCAAAGCCGGTAATGGACGGAGTGGATTATGATGTGTATGACAAGGAAAAGTTGAGGCAAACCATAATGAAGCATGAATCCATTTTTAGACATCAGGTATGAGTTTAATTCTTTTTCTGGTCTAGGAATGGTTCTTTCTACTATATTGTAACATTCTTGCATCAAACACAAAGATCTTGTAAAGCTCTTGATATGGTTTTGTCATACAGGTTCATGAACTCCATCGTCTTTACAAAATACAGAGGGAGTTGATGAATGAAATCAAGTGGAAAGAAGAACAAGTAAACCATTTGATGCCAGTAGGGACGTCGCAAACAAGTCTATTTTCATCTGACTTTCCATCTAAAGATGATAAAAGAAGTTGGTTCTTCTCTAGCTTTCCCTTGGTTAGTTCCAATTATGGTAGGCCCTCTTCATCAAGTGCTGACATTGGCCAATGTCCTCAAAGTTTCATGAAAGAGAAGACCACACAGACGAGATGCAATCTCACAGAAAATGAATCTTTGGTTCTTAAGTGCAAGAAGCCTCACAGAATATTGTTTGATCTTGAACTTCCCGCCAATGAGTACATGAATGACGAAACCGAAGCACAAGGAGAATTTGCAGTTTCGAAAACAGAAAGTTATATATTTAACAAAAGTAACGAAGTTACTCAAGATGGAGAAAAAAAATTATCAAATCACTCTTATACAGGGAAAACTTATACCTTGGCTGATCTGAATGAACCTGTAGGCATTGAGGAAGTGTCAGCATCAGCTTCTGTCGATAATCTAGGCAACGAGATCAGCAGAGGGATCAGCACCGTTCACTTAAAGACTGAGAAGAATGAAAAAGAATGTTCATCTTATACTTTTGAAGCTGGTAATGATCTCTATTTTTTTATTTTCTTGCTTTATTTTCATCTGGATCCCATTGGATTTGGAGATCTTGTTTTTTGGGTTGTCCAAGTTGTCCTAGTGAGACAGTTTACGGGGCTTCCATTTAAACTAATATGTACTAATTTATTTGCCTTTTCTTTCAGGTCAAATCAGAAGCAAGAGTTCTTTCAGTGGGACATTCCATCTTGAAGGTTTTCGGAAGCAATGTAACTTGTCAAAAGTTGAATCTAGCAAAGCCAGTGAGTTTGCTACATGTCTTCCTTCTGATCAGAATACTAGAGGGAAACAGGTTAAAAGGAGAATCTTTGGTGTAGAAGGTCTTGAAGGAAATGATGATTTATCTGCATTTGCTTCCAAAGCAATTAATGTTGTCAATTCTGAAACATCCTCCGTCACATCCTGGACAAAGCCTCAAGACGGTGCTAGTGGATACTTGTGGAGCCTGGCCTGCACAAACTACACAAAGTCTGTGAGCGATGTGGCGAATCCAAACAAATATCCACGCGATGCAATTTGCAAAGAAAATGGTGTTTCTGTTGATAAACCAAGGAAGCCGGAGATGCAACAAGGAGGATTGCCTTGGCTTAGAACAATTCCACTAGTTAATGGCAAATATTTGAAAGATGAAAGTGAAGGATCTCGTCAGACCAAAATAGATTCCACACAAAATTGTTTATCATTGTTCCTTAACCAAACTGACATAAGGAAGGGACCCTCACAAAGTCCTATTCAGGACTCTTCATCAACGACGCAGGGCCATGATGCTGAGCACAGGAGAGTTGAGACTAGTGAATGCTCGAGCGTCAAAAGAATTCTTGGTTTTCCCATCTTTGAATTCCCTTCAACACCTGGTTCTGTTGCTTCTGTCCTCAGTAACGATAGCCTTCTTAAGACCAGGTTGGCCAAAAGTGATTTGCCTAGTGAACCTCTGTCACTGAAATCTGGAGAGAAGTTCAAATTCCAAGACCCGAGAAAGGGATTGGTGAATGACAGCTCTTATGTCAGACATCAGATAGACTTGAATGAATGTGTAATTGAAGAAGAGGCTCAACCAACACCCCCATCTCCGGTTGCGAAACCTACAACTGGGATAGATTTGGAGGCTCCAGTTGTAGTTGAAACAGATTTGGAGGAAGAATCTCTTGAAAGCAATCTCAAGAAACCTTTGGATTCATTAGGATGTGAACCCGGTTTGACTTATGAAAGCCTTGACAAGATCGCAGCTGAGGCTTTAGTTGCCATCTCAGCTTTCCATGTGCATAATCTGCAAGATAATGCCGCACTTGATCTTCAAGAAAATGAGACCCAACACCAATCAGACTCTTCTCCAAGTGCCTTCCTTCACTGGTTTGCAGACATTATCTCATCATATCATGAATTCTCCGAGAACGAGGCAGGAATGGCTAAAATCGGCATCTGTCATGAAGATTCCAGTTCTGATGGCATTGATGACTTTGAGTACATGATCCTAAACTTACCAGAGATAACAGTAGAAGAGTACTGTTACAAGCCTCCGGAACCTGATGACCTAAAAGAAGAAGAAACACCGGTGCCGAGAAGGCCCAGGAGAGGTCAGGCGAGGAGAGGGAGGCAGAGGAAAGACTTCCAGAGAGATGTGCTTCCTGGATTAGTATCCTTGTCTAGAAATGAAGTGACTGAGGATCTCCAGACCATTGAAGGGATGGTTAAAGCAATTGGAGGGACTTGGCAGTCAAGTTTGGCACAGAGAAATGGAGGTAAGGGCGGTGGTGGAAGGGGAAGGAGGCGAACGACATGTTCCGCCCTGCCCCCTCCTCCTGCTCCTCCGCCTCCTCCAGCACCTGCAGTTTCCTGGCAGCAGCCTAATTCCAAGGAACTGGGACTCGACGAAACGAGCCTTACAGGGTGGGGGAAGAGGACAAGGCGGCCTCCGAGGCAGAGATGTCCAATTAGTAATTCTCTTCTCCCTCTAAAATGAGTGGAGAGAGAATGAAATGTATGTCTTTGGTGGCCAGAAGGAGCTATTGGGTCTTATTTTTACTAGACAAGGAGTTCTTCAATGTAAATTTATACTCCTAATTCGAGTTCCTTTAATTTTCTCCTTTTTTTTTTTTTATTGGATGAAGTACTCTGAGTGAACTTGTATTGTATGATTCTTCATCCTAAATAAGTTGTATTGTTCATTGCAGAAGAGTTTGTTTAGCTGAGAGTGCAACATAATTGGAACTTCTTGTGGAGAGCTAGGAAACCCCACTCCAGGATCTTTTCAAAACTGTTGTAGATTTTTTTAATATTTTGAGATTCATGCTTGATAGGATTTCCATGCATCAATTAATCACGGTATTTAAATCTGAAGTCTCCTTAAATTGTCTTTTATCAAACACACCTACCAATTCATAATTGAAGTTGCTTGTTATGGCCACTACTGGCCTAACTTTTGGATGACTTTGCACCAAATTAGTGTCTTTTCATTTCTGTTATCTCTCCTTTGTCTTATCAATAATCTCTATCAAATTTAGTTAGTTAGAAATGTTGTGGATTATAAATATTTGACATGTCCTTTTTTGCTAATTCATTATCTCTCGAATAGGAGAAAGGGATGATGATATTCTTATAAAGAGAAATGTTAGTATTATTTTTTCTGTCACTCACTTTGTCATTTTATGCATTCACTGTTTGATATGTGGACTTTATTATCATATTTTCTGTTTAAATAATAATATATCGTATTAGTGAAGTCGACGTGTCAAGTAAATATAGAGTTACAGAAAGAGTGATCCTAATATTTCTCTCTTATAGAAAGAGAAAATGAATGTTAGCACTTTTGCCCTAAACTTTTGTATTTAAGCACCATAATTCCCAAAGATTTTTGTGCAGCAGTTAATGCCCTCTAAAATTCTTGTAATTTCACATTTTGATCCCTGAAAATTTATTTTTGATAGGTTAGTCTCTAGCAACAGTGGCTCGCAGCTTCGACAATGGCCGTACACAGACAACATCAGTAGGGTGTCGCAGAAAAGAGAGGTAGAGAAAAGAAAATGGGAGGAGAGAGAGGATTATTTTTTTGGTACGAGCTGATATTATTTCTAAAGAAAAAGAAGACAAATATCCTTAAAAGTAAATGAATCAGGATTTTTACATTTTACTCTTGATTAGTAACCTTTTTAGTCATTTTCTTAAGTTTTTAAAGAGACGTGCTGGTAAGTTGGCCAATCTTAGTGTGATAAATAAGAATAAGATGTGATGGTCCTCATGTCTTAGTTCTTTTGATTTTTTAGTATATAGGGGTGCTTTGGGCTTACCTTTTTATAGATTTTTTTGAATGAATTTTTGTTTTGTATTTTTTTCTTTCTTTAATAATATTTTTCATTAAAAAAATAACTATAAACAAAAGAGTATTAATTAAGAATGAGGTAAAAATTTAAATGCACTTTTACACCATATTCATATACTTTTAAAGATAAATTCTTCATTTTTTTCTTCTCTTTCTTTTTTTTTTAATTTTTATTTTAAGTGGACTTGATTAAAGAGCCGCTTCAATCTTAGAGGTGTCAATTGGGCCGGGCTGTCGCCTAGCCCGCTACAGTAGTCAATGTTGGTTCCCGAATCGAATTCGGGAGCGGAAGCGTGGCGGGGAGGCGGATCGTGTATAACAAAAATTTTCATAAAACTCTTGAGATACTCTATAGATTATATTAATTTATGCACGAATAAATTAATCGCATTAATTTATATATCAAGAACTCAATCCGGAAAAATACCTAGAAGCCGACTCGGATGATAACTTGAGTTCTTTGTCCACGAACAGTCCTTGCTCCAATCTTTGTGTTTAGAATACTAAAGTCTTCCACGTCAATTCCTTGATTCCACGTAGACGTGTGTGTGGGCACACGTGAGACAAAACAGGTTTCTTAAAACACTCGAATTTCCACAAACACCAACGCATGCACGATGTGGAATTTTTGGAGAAAAATATTTGCTCTCTTTTTTTCCCTATGAATTTCGGCCACCAAACAATTTTAGGGCAGAAAAAATGTTTCAAAAATTGTGTCCACAATTTTCTATCATTATCATATTTAAAGAGTATAAGTCAAACTTCAAAACAGACTCAAATCCCTATCTCCAATTTTAAATTTGGAACAAAAAATCCCTTCCCCTTATCTCCAAGGTGGCCGGCCATATCACTAGGGTTTTTCCCTGTGTGTGGCGCCAATAGCAGATAGGGAAGGAAGATATTTTATCTTTTATCCAGTAGTCCAATTTTAATTCAGATTCAAATTCAAATTTAAGTCAAACTTAAATTAATTTGAATTCTAAATTGAACAACTTATCAAATAAGTTTAAATGGATAAATCTAGATATGTTCAAATTCAAATTTAAATAATCTCATTATTTAAATAATAATTAATTCTCAATTAATTATTTTTCGAGTATTTAATTTTAGAATTCCGTAATTCCAAAATTCCCATTTTGCCCTTTGTGTCTGGTAGAATTACAAGGACGACGCGGGGACATATGGACCTATAATCCCGAGCTCCAATAAAATTAATAATTAATTAA